TTTTCATGAATGAAGTTGATGTTAAGTTCGTAATCGTGTTTCATTTAATTATTTTTTCTTATGCATAAACACATTCTGTTGCGCGAAATATACATATAACAGCGAAACACCGTCTAACTTGCGCGAACGACGTGCTCGCTCCAATTAAACGACTCTGGTGTAATAAATACACACTCAAATGACAACTGTATTGTCGAGATCGCAAGTAACGAGTAGTAACGAGTATTAATTGTATCATACGGCGGCTCTAGTCGAACGAATATACCTCTGTAATCGTCGCTCAGCGCGGAGCGATTTATATTACTTAATTTTAACTTAATCTCGGTACCTATTAGGCTATTGTTTTTACAATTTTATCATACAGTTTACCTCACGCAGAATATGTTGTCGCATGCCTAGTAAGGCGTATATACATACATATACATGTGCATGTACTGTATATATCATGCCAAGACATTACACATTATTATACACATAATATACACAGAAAAAGAGAATTTACTCGGTAATTTTATTCATTTGTATTATTATCGTTAATTATAATAATTATTACATATTGAGAGAAAACTTTATTAACTTCCGCAAATCCCTTATCTCTCGTTCTTCTTCTTTTGATGACATTTAAATCGATTATTCTATTGCGATAATTGTGTGTATATGTGTGTGTGTGTGTGTGTATATATATGTATATGTAGACATTTTAGGATAGTTACTTTGTATATACCTTCATCCATACGCGTGCGCGCGTGTATGTGTGTGTGTGTGTGTATATATATAGTGTGTAAACATAACACACATATTATATACGAAAAAACACAAACATTAAAAGTATATATTTTAATATATTACGTATAGTGATCTACACAAAATTATAATCCTATTGTTTAAAGTATTAAAACTAAAACAGAAATGGTACACACGAAATATTTAATAATATTGTTGACCTTTTTCTTGAACACGTATGTCGTCTTGTTGTAATCGATGATTGAATAAAATTAAGACAGTGTACAAACGAATACTTGTCTTGTGTTAATCACAAAGAGCAATTTTTTCCGCGGCAAATCTCACTTAATGCAGGATTATATAGCGAGCGAATAATTCTTTCAATAAATGAAACAGTTTTATTATCAAAGAATGTATAAACTGACATTGATACAACAGTGGAAAATCGATTATGTAATATTACTAATGTTAAATTACTAATATCTTCATAATCATCTTCATGGCAATAAATGCCGTATAATAATCTTTTTTTTTCCATTTTCTTTTTGCGATATATTAAACGTATGCATATTAGCTATACATATGATGTATAGCTCGTATATAAACCTATACCTACCTACCTACCAGCTTGATCGTTTTCATATTGATGAGGAATAATATCTTGTAATGCAATACCGCGTAGGCCCATTTATTGCGCAGGCCCAACAGTGTTTGTACTTGATTTAATACAATACCTTATAGATCCTATATACTCAAGTTATCGTAAAGTTATACAACAGTGTATTGTTTCCCACTGGAACGGGAAGATTTCTCAACTTGACTCACAGCTCGTGGAAGACACATGTTGGAATGCAGCAGATGATGTAGAGATGATTTCTTCTACACTACTGTATAGAGATGTGCGAACTATTCGAATTCGAATCGAATCTAATGTAATTCGATTCGATTCGAATCTGAATCCCTATGATTCGAATCCGAATAATTCGAAAATTTCGAATCGAAGATTCAATTACGAATCAAATATATTAGCGTGCATTATATTTGCATGCATCAAGTACAAAACGAGACACCTGGGCCTGTATGTTTGAACCCTTAACTTGTAATTAACTTAACTTATAATTAATAACTTAATTATAAATTGCTTTAAATATTTAAATATATATTTTACTTTAAGATGATATTACAATATCAATCCCCTTTCATATTAAAACCTTCTATCATTATGTGCATGTTTAATAGTCATGTTAAATTTTTTAATGATTCGATTCGATTCGAATTCGAATTAAAAAAATGAGATTCGATTCGATTCGACATAAAAATTCTTGATTCGCACATCTCTACTACTGTATATACATAACGGATGTACACATGGGTCTTCAATAATTTCATTAATACCATCTACAGTCTTGATAAGATTGTATACAAAGGCGTCTTTTTTTTTTGGCTAAACAAATAATCGTAATCTTAAAATATTCATCCAAACCGGTTTATATATTACGTTTTATAGTTTATACAGATGCGACTGCGATATAATTTATCTTCATGCATAAAAATCCCAACGTTGTTCCGAATCGTCCTTAAACTTCAATGTCTGACTAGCAACCATCAAGGTGCAAAACAGTTCCGTTACTTCGGGAACTATGATAAAATTAAGTACATTAATTGCTATTTTATCACATTGGCAATAGGCCCGTCTATGAAATCTTCATATTCCGTACAATATACATATATATATATAATATTATATATATATATATGTATGTATGTATGTGTATATATACACGCTTTCCTATGTGTGTATACATAAACTCCTTTAGCATTGCTTACTGGCGTGTAAGACACTACGAGTAAAGATGCATATAACATACAATTGTGTATATATGTGTAACTTATATAAATCTCTAGGCACAAGGTGAAAAACTTCCATATATATATATTAGAGATGTGCGAACTATTCGAATTCGAATCTGAATCCCTATGATTCGAATCCGAATAATTCGAAAATTTCGAATCGAAGATTCAATTACGAATCAAATATATTAGCGGGCATTATATTTGCATGCATCAAGTACAAAACGAGACACCTGGGCCTGTATGTTTGAACCCTTAACTTGTAATTAACTTAACTTATAATTAATAACTTAATTATAAATTGCTTTAAATATTTAAATATATATTTTACTTTAAGATGATATTACAATATTAATATCTCCTTTCATATTAAAACCTTCCATCATTATGTGCATGTTTAATAGTCATGTTAAATTTTTTAATGATTCGATTCGAATTCGAATAAAATTTCATAGATTCGATTCGAATTCGAATTAAAAAAATGAGATTCGATTCGATTCGACATAAAAATTCTTGATTCGCACATCTCTAATATATATATATATGTGTGTGTGTGTGTGTGTGTGTACACATATACGCGCATGCATACACTTGGTTTCAAAACGGTTGAACACTTATTTCTCTTGTAGTTTGAAACACAGTTAATGGTCTAATGAGAGACTTGCTTTTTATTAATTTCCAGAAGTTATGTTGGTCTCATTCGACTACCGGCTCTGCTCTGTGCACTAAACTGCACTGAGAAAGCGTTCAAACCATATTACAAACCAAGTGTACATATATATACGTATATGTATACATACACGTATGTGTGTATGCGTCTAATAGTATGAAAATCGTCGACAGCTTCTTGATATTCGAATTCGGCAGCCGGTGTATTGCTAAAATTCATAGAACCAAAGAGTATGGGAAGATTTTCATGCCTACATAATCATTAAGTACCTGCAACATCGAACATGATTGTTATTGCAGTGTTTATCCGCGCCTTTTTCTTATGCTGATTTCTTAAACAAACGATCGTTTACCTCTGTAAGAGCATCTTTCGTCAATTTAGGGTACTGGTATGTAAATCCTATGGTGGTTAATTTGCCAGGCTGTAAGTACAAATGTTTATTGTACAAAAGTTCTTGATCTATGTATGGAGATAGAGGGCTGTTCATCACTCCATCCTTACGACAAGCTTCAGCCCAAGGACCCATGTGTTTATCGTTCACTTCTTCCACAACGTGGTTCATGTCAGCCTGCAAAATATATGGTAAATATTTTCTGAAAGAATTGTATAAATTTACTGATGTGCACATACACACAAAGTACATCATACAAAGTATATCACTAATAATATTACATTAATATCTTAATAATACGTTATTAATACATACAAGTATATAATATACTAAGAATAATGGTACAAAAGCCTAGTCATACTTTAGCGAGTGTAGATAGTGCAGTACCCCAATAATCATGATTGATATTGAACAGTTCTGAGATTATGGCACTAATGGAACCTTGAGTAGAGTCTCCCTCATCAACAAGGTTATACGTTTGGCCCATTGTTTCCGGCTGGTTCGCGACATGCCAGATAGCTCTAGCAACATCTCTCACATGAACCGTATTCATATGAAGATCTGGTCCCCAGAGCAGCTTCATCATTTCTCCTAGATGCTTATAAACTGCACCTACCACCAATCTTGGCGCTGTAGATAATGAAATTTTACAAAGGAATTATTTCAATTGATTTAACCGATAGAAAGGAATTATAAATTTTTCAGTAATGGGATAAAACATGAGATCGTATATATCATCCTTACCTAAACCATTTCTATCACCGCAACCATACACAATGGCTGGTCTAAGTACAGTATATCTCAAATCTGGAATGTTTTTCAACTCATGCTCCACTTGTAACTTATATTTTGCTACAAATGTCCATGGCTCTCCAATATCCTCTTCGTTATGAGGAATCTAAATAACAATGTAATATCTACATGCTGTATATGTGTATTTATATTAAAGGACATTTGTAATTAGAATTTACCTTTTCTGAAGCATTAACATTGCCAGATGACATCTCGATGTAACGAGTGACTTTAATTTTGGCAGCTTGTTGAGCACAGTTTAGGCTTAGTTTATAAATACCTTCTTTGTACACTGGATCTGTGAGACAACTCTTTGTCTCACCGGCACAATTGAACACATAATCAATAGGCTCGTCAGAGGAAAATGCATTTTGACAAGACACTGTGATGAGCACAAAATATCAACATTTATGTATTACATACATATAATTCATATACGCGTATTTGTATGGTTATTATCACACTAATCGGTACTATTGTACTTTGTTAGTATCATTACGCACACATTGTACTCACTATAGCTATAAATGGCACTTCGTACAATGATTACCTATGTTAATTAAATTAGCACTCTGGAACTCGAGCGACGGATGTTCAAACATCCGCTGGTGTTTCGCGTTGAGCCATGCGGTCTGTGGTGGCACCTTGTCCACGACTCTTACGTATGACACCAAGTCGTTGTCCAGCAGATACTCAACGAGATTACGGCCGATAAAACCACACCCTGCACGATAACGAGAACGATAAACCTACGTCAAGTACTGGGGACGTCACCGTCTCCTCTTATCGCTCTTCCGCCGTTCGTGAGTTCGGGCATATCGCGATACTAGAAAAAGATATAGTTTACCTCCCAGAACAATCACCCTCGCTTTTTTATCGCTGGCAGGCGTTGCCATGGTCGCTGCTCGTCATTTAATCGTGCAGCTGTTCGTTCTCGACCGTCGGGTCGGGCCTCGATCGCCGTAGGATTGTCGGACGCGACTGTTTATGACACTCGCTCGACGCACCGTGTTCTCGCCGGATTCACCGCTATGCAATTAACCTAAAACCCACTAGTAACCTGATGGACACAAAATAAAAGCGTGCTAGTGTCGCGTGACACCAGGCACACAGCACAGCACACTGTCGCGTATATTGCTGCTGCACTCTTTTCGACTCTGTCCAATGGCTGAGAAACTGCTCTGCACATCTGCAAAAAATCTAATATGGTGCAGAAAGTGCAACCGTAAAACATAATTCTCGCGCTTGGAAAATTGCAGAAAGCAATCTTGATGAACGATGTTGCCTTCTGCAGGCCGGTTGTATAAAGATAGAGAAAAACTTGAGAGCAGCTACGTCGGCATTTTCGCCGACGCCGATTTTTACAATTGTTTGATACGCTACCTGCACTCATATTTGATCTGGAACATTCACTATACTCATTTTCAAGCATTGTCGGTGAAGTCTCCAGTGTGAAGTACACACATGAGGGCTGCGTTCCGATATTCACTGCCAGTACTGAAAATACATAGTTTGCATCACATATACTATAGATTTTTAGTGCTGACAGTGAATATCGGAACGCAGCCATTGGGTGCATTCAGTACTACAACTGCTCACTGAGCGCTCAATGAGCTTTTACATTTGATTGGTATATTCTTTTAGAATTATACACCAATTAAAAAAATTTAAAAATATACACCAATCAGATGCAAGAGCTCACTTAAGCCAGCGGCACACGGTGCTTGTTTCGTGCTGGATTGCTTGCTGGATGAAAATATTGCGTTGTGATTGGTACATTTCCGAAGATGGATGGAAATGCACCAATCAGAACGCAGTATTTTCATCCAGCAAGCAATCCAGCACGAAAACAAGCACCGTGTGCCGCTAGCTTTAGCGCTCAATGAGCGGTTGTAGTACTGAATGCACCCATTGCCAGCTCTGAAAATCTATAGTATACGTGACGCAAACTATGTATTTTCAGGGCTGCTTTCGGAAACGTCATTCGTGTGCGTCTGCTGCGTCGATGTGAGAGAGACATAAAAGTGAGATAAAAGAAAACCGAGAGAGAGTATCCGAGTGAGACGTTTTCGAACACAGTCCAGTACTGACAGTGAATATTGAAATGCTGCCTATATTGCCCGTTTCTCTATTGCTTTACGACTTAAGCCGGTTGCACACAGAACACCACGGCAACGCACAGCCATTGGCTGCATTCAGCAGACTCAACAGTTGGACATTATTAGATTTTTTACTGAATCTCGCTCCTGATTGGTAAATACTTTTGGGTCTATGAAGAATCTAAAAGAAGGCTCCAATCACAGACAATAATCACTAAGGCCCAGTTCCACAACTTGCTTTAAACGGAGTTTAAAGCTAAACCGATGGTTAAAAGCAATAGTATATGCGCATATACTATTGCTTTTAACCATCGGTTTAGCTTTAAGCTCCGTTTAAAGCAAGTTGTGGAACTGGGCCTAAGCGCTCTCGGGGTACCTATTAAGGTTCGTCTACAATAGCTGTAAAGGCTCGTCTACATTAGCTGTAAGAGTAAGGCTGTAAGGTTGCAAGACACGAAATGAAATATTTTCATTCGCTGACAGCTTACGTTACAGCCTTACAGCCTAAAGCTAAAGCTAAGACTCCATGCATGCGGTGAGCTGCGGCAAACGGTTGCGGTGACCAATCAGGAGGGAGGCGCAAGTCCGGTTGCGGCAAGCTCCGGCATGCGTCTGTCTCCTGATTGGTCACCGCAGCCGTTTGCCGGAGCTCACCGCATGCATGGAGTCTTAGCTTTAGCTTTACTCTTACAGCTATTGTAGACGAGCCTTTATGGAACTCGTCGGAATCGATTCCGATCGGAATAATTCAGTTTCCCCTAGAAAAGACAATAGAAATCTAGGAAATAACGGAATAAATTCGATCGGAATCGATTCCGATGAGTTCCATAATAGGTACCCTGATCACTTTGTTCTACTGAACGCGACCATTGATTGGCTACTGTGATCTTCCCTAACCAACTTCCGCCGCGCGGCAAGCGTTGCCGTGTCCTGTGTGCAACCGACTTAAAGCTAAGACTCCATGCATGCGGTGAGCTGCGGCAAATGCTGCGGTGACCAATCAGGAGGGAGGCGCAAGTCCGGTTGCGGCAAGCTCCGGCATGCGTCTGTCTCCTGATTGGTCACCGCAGCCGTTTGCCAGAGCTCACCGCATGCATGGAGTCTTAGCTTTAGCTTAACTAATTCCTGCTCACATTGCTGATCGGTGTTGTCGGCTACATTTCTTTTCCGGTCCGCTAAAATGGTAAGATGAATCATGATATTCAATTCTGTTGTAAAATCAAGCAATATTATCCAGCTGCTTGTTAATCGCGACGAGTTCGTCCGGTTATCGGACAACACATCATGTTGTTTTAATTAACGGTAAATATCTTTTTTATAGGGTATCGATATTAACCATAAGCATGACAGGAAGGTTCGACGAACAGAACCGAAGTCACAGGACGTGTATTTACGTCTTCTGGTCAAAGTAAGAATATTGCTTTTATTATTTAGTAATTTAGATACACGTAATATTGAGTCGATAATTAAACTATCAAATACAACAATATATCAAATGTACGCATTCTTCTTTAATCTCACTTAAATTCGCCTCGAAGTCGTGCATCCGTTACTATGGCGTTATTAGCTATTAAGGTTGGCATACACGTTTGATTACATGTGACGTAGAAATTCGGTATTTTAGATATTCAATTTTTGTACAGTGAATTTTGTATCAGCCATTGAAATTTTTCTATGCAAGGGATACCATTAAATAATTCATCACGAGAAGTATTCTATGCATTATTTAGTAGTATCAAGGACTAAATTCATATGTATGTCATCGATATATTCTTGGTTCTTTTTTCCTGTAAAATAGATGAACCAAGAAAATTATATAATTGCGAATTGCACTCTGTGTCAGATCTTACATAGACTGATTCAATTTGAATGTTCGCTAAAGTAACCAATAGTCGACTATCCTATTCTGCCTATCCTATTTTATATGATATATAAGAAGGTAATTATCTTAGTCGATACATCTATTTAGCATAAAATTCTTACTTCAATAGATTCTCAAGCTGTAATCGTGAGACAAATTTTAAGTTTAATTAATAAATGGATGCTTGAGAATTTTCAGTCTTCTGTATAGTAACATTGTAATAATAAAATTTATGTTTTAGCTATACAGATTTCTAGCCAGAAGGACAAATTCCAAGTTCAATAAGATCATCTTGAAACGTCTCTTTATGAGCAAGATCAATAAGCCACCAATCTCTCTTGCTCGCATTGTACGACTGATGAGCAAGTCTCATCGTGAGAACTGTATCGCAGTAGTTGTCGGCACTATTACAGATGATGCTAGAATTTTTGAAATTCCAAAACTGACGGTATATATGTATTAATAACTGCTGCAATTATGAAAGATGTGTTATGTTTTCTACATAATAATTAATCGTATACCATATCACCAATTTATATGATATATATATCATATATATCATATACACTATAGTGTCATGACGATTAATAATGATTAATTAATCATATATTATACCATACCGATGTAATGGCAGGTCTAATAAATTGACTCTATATGTGGAATATTGCAGGTATGTGCTTTGCGTGTAACTGAGAAAGCCAGAGGTCGCATTTTGAAGGCTGGTGGTGAGCTGATAACGTTCGATCAGCTTGCGCTACGCGCTCCGACTGGTAAGCGCACGGTGCTGCTGCAGGGACCACGTAAGGCACGCGAGGCACAGAAACATTTTGGACCAGCACCTGGTGTACCACATTCACACACGAAGCCATTGGTACGGTCAAAAGGCCGGAAATTCGAGCGAGCAAGAGGCCGCAGGCGTAGCTGTGGTTACAAAAAATAAGGTTTATATTAGCGTCATCATTTATTTCACAATCTTCGATTAGTCATCTGAACAAACATTTTACAACTGACGTTTTCTTCATTGCAGTTTTCTTTTCACATAATCGAGTGATTGAGAAATAAATGTTGGCTTGATAAAAACTCAATGTTTTATTTTCTTCTGTATGATATTGCAGTTGAATCGCAAATAAAACTGCTCCATATTACTTCCTGACTCCATGGTTCCTAGTTATGTCCATATTTTTTTTAATTACTGCTCAATCAACAATCAAGTTCTCGTAATCATGTTTTTTTTGTAACATGAAAACAGCGCGTTGCGTTTCGTAAATGAAATATTTATTTAATCAAAATCAAATTCAGAGTTTACAATAACAGTTTTCAGATGCGATTTGCGTATAAAATATATTACAGCGTATGTACAAAGAAAGAGTACCTACACACACACACACGCGCACACACACATGCACATTCAGGGTAAGTCTTCTTAAGCCTAGCTCGATGTTCCGCGCGCGCATATATTAACTATATATGTATATCTCATATATATATATATATGTATAGTATAGTATATGAGATATATTTCTAATTTCTTTGTTTTTTTACGAATTACACGTAATACGTTAAGCTTCAGAGATGCGTGGCGTGTGTAAATCGCACATTATGTATACTATACAATTTGTACGTTGTGATAATGAACATTGATACGTGATCGTAGTCCAGATACATCGAACCGACCGTTGAAGCAGTCTCTCACGATTTTTGCAATTTTATTTACAAACTGATAGAGGAGTTAGAGAGTAAGAGGGAGAAAGGGGGGAGAGCGCGATGAACAAAATTTCGAGAACATTCTTATGCATTCATTTTTTTTCTTTTCTTGTCCAACAGAACTTTTAAATTTTATGAATAAATGCTTCGTAATAATGCATTGGCACAATGATCGATATTTTAACACGCGCGATATATGGAACTCGCCTTCGGTTTGTTTTATCTCTTCGTTTTATATACATAGTACAAAGCATATATATCTTCTCTTTATATACATAGTACAAAGCATATATATCTTTTTTTTATATACATAGTACAAAGCATATATATATATATATATATATACACACACACACACACACGTGTGTGTGTGTGTGTGTGTGTTTAAGAACCATCGATATCGCGCGTTAAAAATTTTGTGTATGTAATACACAATATGACAATCATGATTATCATCTGATCAATGATCAAATTAACAACCATACCTTTTATGTAACTTCGATGAAAATATATCAAAATCTTAAAAATACTGTATCGCGCGCGCTACACGTATCCTTAATCGTGATCTTAGATCTAAGCGTGTCATCTTGCGACACTATAATCTTGTTTTGTCTCTAAAAGTATTATAAAGCAACTGGAAGATGATTGTTGTCCAGCGCGTTTCTCAACGAAAGTTGCACATGGCATAATGCATACCGCGTATTTCGTAAAATCGAACGTAACAGTCGTACAGTTAATAAATTCCTCGGCGAAAACGCGTAAGGATAGTCGTGAGATTTTTAGACACGTTAATAATAGTCATCATTTACAAGTAGCAAAATACATCGTGCCAGTGTTATTTTCTCATTGATATCTCGAGGACACGGTCTCGAGGATAGATTTGCACCAGAATACGGCTTCTCTCTATCTTCTAATCGATCTTGTTCTCCAGGAGCGGAACACTCGGGTATTTTGGAAAGTCTACGGCAGCTACGCGATTCTTCACCTTATAACTAGGAAACAATCCTGTCATGCTGGTTCTGCTGTTGTACCCTTTGGAGAAACCGTCCCAATGATTGCCGTATACTTCGATTAGATCCCCAGCCTTCAGTTCGAGCTCGCCGTTCTTCCGCGGCTTGTGGTCTATGATGGCCACGTGGGGATGCGGATTCTGTCCGCCATAGTAATATATATCATCGAGAGATGTGAATCTGTTGTACGCGTCCGCGTAGAAAGTCTGCATCAATTCATACGCAACGCGACACACCTGCGAGCTGAACGTGCACACCAGATAATCACACTCCGACAACAAGTGAATATCGATGATTATTCCCTGTAGCGAGCTGTCGGAGTATCGTTTTGCCACGGACGCAGTTTCGGCAATTTCGGGATCGCCTATGATCACATAATTCGGATAATTCTTTCTGGCTGTCGTGATTACCTTTGGATCGTCGCTGGCTAAAAATACTCTCCTCGCGTCCGGTTTAGTCTCGAGCTCATCGAAATACTGTTCCACCTTGGTCATGTATTCGTCTATGTCATGATAAGCTGCCTCGGTGCCCACCTTGTCAGTTCTGCGCACATGTACACCGACGACGGGCTTTTTGAAGCCGAGTTTCTCTTTCGCCTTTTCCAACGTCTTTTTCACATGATCCTGAGGTCGCATTAGATATTTTAATACCTGTCCCACCCACCAGACCAGCGGGTGGCCGTGAATCTTTTCTAATCTGGCTGCCAAATCCGCAGGTACGCTAGGCGCCTGGTACTTTGGCTTAGGATAGACGTTATCAACGATTGGTAAGGATATCACTTGTTTAGTGGGGTCGCCAGGCCAGTTGGAATGCGAGACGCCGCTCGTAGATACGCAAGTATCACTAAGCGGCTTGAACACAGATTCCCAGCCATCCTTGTGGTATCTCCAACCCTTCGACTTTATTATCAACGTTCTCTCCGTACCATAAGCGACCATGAAGCAGTACGTGATGTGGTGAAGCTACAAAGAGACAGATATATTTAATTTACTCAAGATTGTATCAAGATTATATAGTTATTATATTTATAAATTATATTTGTGTGTGTTGTGTGTGTGTGTGTGTGCGTGTGCGCGCGCGCGCGCGCGCGCGTGTGTGTGTGTGTGTGTGTGTGTGTGTGTGTGTGTGTGTGTGTGTGTGTGTGTGTGTGTGTGTGTGTGTGTGTGTGTGCATTGCGTGTATAGTTACCATAATATATAATACTATAATGTACTATATATTAGAGTTACCGGATAATAGTCGAATATATTCTCACCTGGCAGCCAAAGCCACATCCTTTGTTTAGGCTACATACTAACTTTTTTGCTTTATTACAATCGGTGGGATTTTGCAGATATCTTGCAAGTGAAAATACGAAATACGTTAAAGCATTAACGTATGTAAAAAAAAAAAAAAAAGTTTCAATATTGCAAGCATAATGATACTTTGTGTTACCTGAATCTTCTCTGAACAAGATCAGACAAGTCTTTCGCCTCTTTCTCTCGCCATTCGTTATAACCATCTGCTTTTGTCAACTTGTCGACATTCATTATAAGTGACTTTTTATGTTCCCATGTATTTTTTAATACATCTTGTATATCTTTTTCTTTTTCTTTCTGATCGTGCGTGAAGTCGTCAATGTGCTTCTTGAATTTGTTCAGCTCAGCTGCGATGTAATACCTATAATACAAAACTGAACACGTGATCTTTTGCATTGCATTTTGGTGGCAAAGTTATTTATTGCTCCAGTTATTTATTGCTGCACTCACCACAACTCCTGAATGTCATTTCTCAATCGTCGCCGTAGTTCTTCGTATTCTAGAGGAGGTACTCCATGTTTTAGTCTGTCTGGCTGCTCTGCCAGATCGTAGTAAGCTGAAGCTTTCTCCAATCTGTCCTGTATAGATCCCAGATGATCACCCTGCATAACTTTTGAGCCTTCTCTGGAAATTATGTTAGCCTGTACAATGGAAGAATCGCGACATTCTGTGTCTCAATTTTTGCAAATTCTAATATATTTTAATCTTTTTTTCATTTCATATATTACTCCAGCATATATATGATACAAATATAATAGCATATACCTACCCCAATATAAAATTCTTCAGAGCATCATTTTGCCTTTTTAGAATTTCAAAGTCATTGACCATCTTTGCTAGGCGTTGCATGTTTACCTTGTTGACAGCATTAGCATCTTGGTTGGATGAGATATTTGATTTAAATATATGGGAAATGGATATAATTAGTGCTATCAACCATGTGGCCAGCAATGCTATCACAATCTTTCCCAACCAACCAAGACGTCCTGAACAGATAGCTGCCATTTTCACTGCAGCAGATAATATTCTAATTTGTGATGTGTCACATTACAGCACCTAAAAACATAACTGTTAAAAAAAGAAAAATGGTTCTCCATTTCTAATATATAGACTTCTACATATACTTCTAATCTATCTAATCATAAAATTTTTATACGTTTTCTCCGATGTCATGCATGAAGATTAAACTTGTCGAATTTACATTGTCGAATATGCAATTGTATAGTGGGGGCAAACAATAACATGAACGTCAATCGGAATGTAATGATACAAAAATACAATTCTTAAAATTCAATAAAAGGAGGAATAATGAGATGGTTTTCGCGAAGAACGCTTTTTCACATGCACTCATATAATGCATGTGTAATATTATTGGTACTATTGAACTGCGATTGTTAGGTAATAATAAAAGGATAAACGTCGGAACATGTAAACAAGCATTGACACTCTGCGGCCAGCGGCGCAGCAAAGCATGTAGCAGCGCTAATTATTTCCGCCACTGGATTCGTGCAACCGTATCATAATTTTTCAAGCCAGTACACTGTACCTGTGCACATTCTCGGGCTCTCAGAAGCCAGCATGCGTAAACGCTTGTACGTTACGCGCGTCTGACACGTATTGACAGGAATGAAATTAGCATGACTGATCGGCGAACGCGACGATGTTTGTAAGAGTGACGTAATAGCTCGCAGAAATGTGCTCCATGTCGCTTCCTCCAACGAAAATCTCGTCGCGAGAATCAAGACCGATGTAACCTTGCTATAATTCCGATGACGATTCGAATTTCAATATTATCGCATTTAGCAAGAAAATATCTCGACCGCGTGAGAGCACAGAGTCACCGACGAGACGCGTTAATAAAGACTGTCAGCCCTGGATACATTTTCGTACTGGCCACGGGGGCCCCGAGGAGCCTAGAGATAATCGAAGAGCGATGATAATACCGACTGTTTTAGCTACGCCACCGACGAGGTAATATAAAGGCTCGTCTACAATAGCTGTAAGAGTAAGGCTGTAAGGCTGTAACGTAAGCTGTCAGCGAATGAAAATATTTCATTTCGTGTCTTGCAACCTTACAGCCTTACTCTTTCAGCTATTGTAGACGAGCCTTTAGGCCTGGTCTACAATAGGTGTTGTAAGCTGTAAGCCGTAAGAACTGACCAATTATAGCCGATTATTTTTGTAATAATCGACTGTGATTCGCCAATTCTTACGGCTTACAACTTACGACAAGTATTGTAGACCAGGCCTAAAGGCTCGTCTACATTAGCTGTAAGAGTAAAGCTAAGACTCCATGCATGCGGTGAGCTGCGGCAAATGCTGCGGTGACCAATCAGGAGGGAGGCGCAAGTCCGGTTGCGGCAAGCTCCGGCATGCGTCTGTCTCCTGATTGGTCACCGCAGCCGTTTGCCGGAGCTCACCGCATGCATGGAGTCTTAGCTTAAGGCTGTAAGGTTGCAAGACACGAAATGAAATATTTTCATTCGCTGACAGCTTACGTTACAGCCTTACAGCCTTAAGCTAAGACTCCATGCATGCGGTGAGCTCCGGCAAACGGCTGCGGTGACCAATCAGGAGACAGACGCATGCCGGAGCTTGCCGCAACCGGACTTGCCTCCCTCCTGATTGGTCACCGCAGCATTTGCCGCAGTTCACCGCATGCATGGAGTCTTAGCTTTACTCTTACAGCTATTGTAGACGAGCCTTAAAGGTCACTCTACAATACGTGTCGTAGTTGTAAGCCGTAAGAATTGACCAATTATAGCCGATTATTTTTGTAATAATCGATTGTGATTCGCCAATTCTTACGACTTACAACTTACGACATGTATTATAGAATGACCTGTAGCTGGAGAGCGGCGAGATAAAACATGAATTGACATGAATATCGGCGTGTTGTCTTTCCCCTCACCTCGCAGCGACAATAGTTGCTAGCTGTATTATCATGAGCGTAGCTAATGCAATCGGTATTATCAATGGCCGCATTCAGTAGAACAAAGTGATCTGAGAGCGCTTAGTGATTATTGTCTGTGATTGGAGTATTCCTTTAGATTCTTCATAGACCCAGAAATATTTACCAATCAGGAGCGAGATTCAGTGGTAAGTCTAAATCTCGCTCCTGATTGGTAAATATTTTTGGGTCTATGAAGAATCTAAAGGAATGCTCCAATCACAGACAATAATCACTAAGCGCTCTCTGATCACTTTGTTCTACTGAACGCGGCCATTGCTCTTCAATTAGATTCCGGGCCCCTTCGGGTCCCCTTGGTTGATCCGAAAATTTACCTAGGGCCGTCAGTCTTTATATTACCTCGTCGTTGTCGTCGTTTATCATGTTGCGCGCGTAGTTCTTGAAAAACCGTTGAAGTAGGTTTTTTTAAGGAGAAAGCTGGTACGTTTTTCTCCATGATAATTTTATAGATATTAATTTGTAATGTTGTTATAATTTAACGACGCGAGTATTTAATCGTGTGATTCTCATTTCTAACAATTCATCCGACGACCATTATTAATTTGTCGCTTAAGATTAGAACGGAGCATAGGCTGAGCATATGAGGTTATATTTCTGTCTATATGTGCGAATCTGTTGTATACATCATTTCCATGTATAAAGTAACAAATATAATAATTAATCTTTCATATTCAATGTTAATTAAACATAGAATGTACTTCTGTGTTGCAAATAAATGTTACTGCTTGTAAAATTTGCACATCAAATTACTATTAGTTCATGCTTAACCTGTACTAAATATTATACCGTCAACAGTAACTTGTATATCTTTTTTAAGGTTCTACACTTTGTGTTATATTCTTTTTAAGTCAAAGATGCCAAAATCAAAAGCATACGTGTCCGACAGTGATGACAGCAGTGAAGAGGTGTTGTGCTTGAGTATTTTTTTGTTATATATATATATATATATATATATATATATATATATATATAATGTTCAGTGTATATATTGTCTGATATTTTTAGGAAAAGAAATCAGTAAAAAAACAAAAAAAGGAAAAGGAAGAGGAGAAGAAAGCAGTTTCAAGCAAGAAATCAAAATCTGAGGATGATGATACTGTATGGGACTTGGGTAACAATCGTCAAGTTAACGTGAGAAATTTCAAAGGCAACTTTTATGTGGATATTCGAGAAATGTATTATGACAAAGATGGTGATTTGAAACCTGGGAAGAAAGGTAATATTGTCATCATATAGTCTCAACATACTTAAGTCAGTATCATCATTTTGACACAACTTATCGGAAGAAAATAAATATATTTCATGGGAAACAATAAAATATTTTATATATTTTAGTATTCAATTTACATTATTTCTGTTGTTTATATAGGAATATGCTTATCCATGTCACAATGGCGGAAATTCATGTCTGTTGTAGAGGAAGTGGATAAGGTAGCAAAGTCAAAATGTTAGAATTATGACTTGGCTTATATATCCTAAAAATTTGTTTAAATTTTATATTTGTAACTTTTCTATTTAAGATACAATAGTATTCAAGGTAATTAACATATATTTTTTGAAGTATCATAGATACAAATAATCATAAAGATAATTATCATTGTAAAACTCTCTCATTTGGGATATTTTTTTTTATCTGAGAAACCTTTGTCATTGTTTTGCATCGTAATGTATCAAATAAATAGTGTAATAACTGTTTTCCGTTCATATCTATGAAAAAAGATCCAAGGACCATCTCTTGGTCTGTATGCTACGAAAGCTAAATGTATGCTAATAAATTCTTTGGGGTCAACCAAAATGTTTAATTCTCTTCCCCCATATCTTGCAACTGATTTCCATGCATGATATAGTAAAATAACAAAAATAATATCTTTGGTATTATTGAGATTGCAGGTAGAGTCATACAAAAAGAATTTATCACTGTTATTAAGTAGTAAATACTGCCTACTTTATGCGTACTTTAAACTGCCTGTCATGCGCAGATATTTCCTTTTCAACAAATAAGAAATATTCGGTGTTTTCCGCTTTGTAAGTTAAAAGAAGACAAACATGCATATACTTTGTCAATTATTAATTACACCAGTAGGTCAAAATATCATATAAAACGCATATAAAAGGTTTTCACACACAAGTAACTAATAGTGATATTCCTAAATTATCAATAGTAAAATACGTAAAATATTTCGTCTCGTATCAAAATAGAAAATACACGCAGTATTGTAACGCAAAAAGGATATAATATTTACATGTGTACAATGTACAAACTGTACAATGAACATCGTCCGTACTATCCTAAGATAACTCATAGAGGGCATTCCTTATTCAGGTCCGTGCACTGTACTCAGGAATTTATTCAAATCCACGTTGCTGAGTAGCGTTTGCGGATCAGTCGCGCATGATTTCTTCTCGGTCTGAAGCAGGAAACGTAACGAATGTAGAAGAATATAAATGCTACGTTCGATGATAGCAGCACAGAAGGAGGAGTATTCTCTCACCTGTTTTGTCTCTTTCGTTTCCGATAGCTTTCTCTTGCGGTTTTTGGCGGCGATCTCTGAAACTGGAATATGCATCATTTACACAAGATCAATTTCTCGCCCGTTATTCTGCCTATTACTGCCTTTCTCTAATACGATTCGCACCCCTACTGGTCTTCCTCGACGAGGGACGTGGCTCGTCTTATCTCAGCTAGTTATTCCCTTACCTCTCTCCTGAGTTTTGTCGGGTTTCGGTTTCTTCTTCAAGTCGAATTGCGCATCGCTGCCGGTTCTGCTGGTCGTTGTGCTCTTGATCTGCGGCAACTTTTTCACTTTCGCTCCCGATGACTCGTCCATGGGAGACGACGTGACCAGAAGCTTTATTGTGTTGTTCCTCGAGATAAACGCCTCGTTATCCATCTTTGCGGGGAACGTCGTCGTCTCGCCGGCTTGCTCGCCTTTGTGCGGTGTTTTCTTGCCTAACGCTCGTTTCTTCGAGTTCTTTGGCGGCAGATTAAATATCTCCTCGAACTCAGTGGCTCTCAACACCTTGATACACTCGATAGGATTCGGGTCGGACAGATCGGCGTAATTGATCTCAATTTGCAGCTCGTGGCCGCTGTACCTTCTTCTTCTCTTCCTTATCGGCGCGCTGTCGTCGTACACAAAATGGTACTCGGCCTTGTAATGATGAACATTAACTGCCTTCTGATTCGACTCGGCATTGTCCTTGCTCGTACCTTTATGTCTACTTCCATCTTCGCCCAGCTCTTGTTGTTGTTGTTGTTGTTGTTGTTGTTGTTGTTGTTGTTGCTGCTGCTGCTGTTGCTGCTGCTTGCCGTTCTGAGCCTGTTCATTCTCGTTCCTGTGTGCCGGCACTAATTGCAGACACTGTAAAACGCTCGACAGCTCCTCCTTGGGGTTTTCTACGTGAGCGTTCTCTCGTAAAACGTTCGGTACCTCCTTCGTGGGACCCGAGCTTTGCTGTGTCTCCTCCGTTCTTCCGTTATTGTCTCTCTGCACATTCGCCAGGCAGAAGGACGCTCTCTGATCGTTCTCCTCGTCGCTAAACAGGTCGCGTTTTACTTGATCCACCTTGCACTTAAGTATGGTACACCTGGTTTTGTCGACATGACTCGCGTACTGCCGTAGCTTACCCGCTTGATCGCGCGACTCCGCCTCCGGCTTCGCCTTGTCGCCGAAAGCTGAAGTCTCTTGCGCAACAATATGCCTTTCGGCGGACTTCCCTTCCTTCTCCGAGACCCTTGTCTGCGCATCACTGTCTCCCCGGAGTTCTGTCTTCCCGGACTCTTCTCGGCCAACTGCGTTAACGGTGCAGTTCCTCTCCAATAAATTCTCCTTGCTGTCTAATCGATCTCTCGAGCTTGGGGAGCTCGCTCCCTTCTCCGACAAAGAGTGGCACTCGGTGGTGCGCGATCGCGCGGATTCCGTCTCTTTGCTGCTGCAACGCTCGAGCGAGTCCTTCACGTTGCTAGTCGTGTTGTCCACGTACGCTTGCTCCACTGCTAAATCGTTGGGCGGTCTATCGCTGCTTGCGTGACTGGTCGTCGACCAGGAATCCTTCTTCTTCTCCGCGCTTCTCGACGCGCTGTTAGCCACCTGTTTCCTCCTCTCTTCGTCGCGATCGCCGCATCCGCTCGTGGAGGAGTTCAGTTTCTGCAGCTCACGTTTGTTTCTCGCTGTATTTCTCGCCGGATTACTCTGCCGCGGAGCACCTTGAGCAGAAGGCACTGTTGCTGTCGGCTTGTCGCGATGCCTCATCGCTTGTCGTATGTTCAGTCTGCTGAGCTGAGCGCCTTTGTTGCGAACGTCGTTGGACGCCTTGCTCATCAGCATACGCTTGCGCGTCATGCCGGCGGTGAGATTCGGCTTGGATGCGTCCCGGAACTTGGCGATCATGCGTTGTCGTTTCTCCTCGAGTTGCACGATCAGCTTGTTGTACGCGGATGTTGTAGTAGACTCGGTGTGCGCATCGAGTTTGCTGTCGGCCGGTTTCACGAGCTCTTTCACCAGGGCTTTCGATGATTCCAACCGGATGCACTGCACGCTCGTCACCTTCGGTTTCGATCGCGCGCGGTTGAGAGTCTCTCTTTTACCGCTGTTTTTCGGCGGTTTGTTCAGCTTCGTCAGCTTCTCATCTTCCGTGATGATCGCCGAGATCTTGGTCGACAGATTTGTCAGGTTCTCGATGCCACTCTTCGAACTGCTGGGGGTCTCCGAGATGTCTGCCTCGTTCAACAGAGTCTCATCTTTGGCGGGAGTTTCTTGCGACGTGACTCGCAGTTGATCGTCGGTCTTCGCGATCATAAACACCTTTTTCGGCGAGGATTCGTCGTCAATCGCCGGATTACCAACGTCCGGATTATTTTCGTCGATTAATCGCGTCGTCTCCACCACGTCTGTGGTCTCTTTGTGTGCATTTATACTCTTGGTCGGCAAGAGGCTGTTTTTGTCGGTTGAAGAGCACGACGATGACGAATCCGTGGTGGAGGTAGACGATGACGATGACGACGACGACGACGACGACGACGACGACGACGACGACGACGACGACGACGATGAGGAATCGGACGAGGACGAAATGTCGGACGATGAGGAGCTGCCGTTCTCGGCGGTGTAGTTGTTGTCGACGATTGTCATTTCACATTGGCGTTCAGCGTTCGCATCTGGAAGCTCGTCGATCCGTATCAGACCCACGTGGCGTTCTTCCACCGCGACGATAGACGCGGAGGAGGTGACGGCGTTGAACTCTGTCGTCGTTGTTGTCGTCGCCGTTGCTGTTGTCGCCATTGTCGTCGTCGTTGCTATTATCGTCGTTGTCATCGTTGTCGTAGTCGCAGTCGCAGTCGCAGTCGCAGTCGCAGTCCGCAGTCGCAGTCGCGTCGTCGCAGTCGCCGTCGTCGTCGTCGTCGTCGTCGTCGTCGTCGTCGTCGTCGTCATCGGCGTCGGCGTCGGCGTCGTTGTCGTCGACGTCGTCGACTCTTTGATGCTGTTGGACGCAATCTTCAATTCCTTGATCGCCTCCTCCTTCGGTAGATTCTCTTTGATCACCTCGAACTGCGTAATCTCCAGCTTCGTCGTGGATGTGCACGTCTGATAAGACGTTCCGGCAGCAGCAAGGCTGTTATGCATCGAGCGCAGTTTGATGTGCGACGACGAGATCATCGGCGACTCCAGGCTGACTACGGGAATATTCTTCAACTTAGACATCCCGTCGCTTTCTTCCATCCCCTGCTCGCAGGTGGGCTTGTAGTACGGGGAATTATATTCATTTTTTTTCACGACGTCCCTTGTTGTTTCCTCCGTATGCTTCGGCGTGAAGGTTATGCACGGGGTGATCGGAAACTCTGGTGTACGGATGAAGCTGCTGCGCAGTCTGCTAGAGTCCTCGCTGAGCTTGATGAATGGTGTGACGGCATTGTTACCGGGACTGAGCATTCTCGGTGTTGGCGGCGGCACAGATGTGCCGTCGTTGTTGAATTTCCTGGGTGTTTCTACGTCAATCATGTCGGGCATACGAAGTATGTGCTGCGTGCTGGTCGCGGACAGAATTCTCGACAGCTCGGACATCTGTGAGCTGTTCATCGTCTGATCCGCGTCCTCTGTAGTCCTTTTCTTGCTGTCGCCGCTATCAGGCTTCTTCAGGTTGGTCCTTATTGTTTTCAGTTGTACGTATTTCTTCACAGGTTTCTTCTCGGCTATCACATCGTTACTGAGCGCGCTCGCATCATCCGTCTTCGTCGACGTTTCAGCAGCATCGTCTGATCCTGAAACTCTATCGGACTTGTTCGTAGAAAGCTTGCTCGCGTTAACGGTAACCATGCCATGATTCTTCTCCATTGTTGCGGTTTTTGCGGTGTTCTCCTGGAGACGCTCAACCGGGTCTTCCATCTCTTGAGTCCTCTCGCAGATTTTCTTCCTGTCACTACTGCTCTTCGTCAACTGCTGACTATACTTGCTTCGTTTATGCACCGTGCCATTCTCGTCCTTATTGGTGTGTTTTCTCTTCGTAGGTCTCCTCATCTCAGTTTCGTCCTTTTTATTTAATTGTATACCTTTCCGTAGATCGGCATCCCAACTTTCCGCCGGCGCTTTAGACGCCTTGTGCTGAGCTCTATCCTCGGAAGAGGAAGACGCGCTGGTGCTCCCGTGCGAGGATACGTCGCCGATAATAACGCCGACACCATTGAACTTGTCCCAACCGCCCATGAGCTTGGGGGCGGGACTCCTGGTGGCTATGGGGATCTTGTAAGATTGGCAAACTTTAACGGGGCTCTGTTGCTGCTGCGTGGTGATCATCGGGGAGCCTGAGAACGGCGGAGACTTAAACAACGACGTCCTGCAGACGGATTTCAAGCGTTTCGTCGTAGCGGATGAGAATTGAGTAGTCGTCTCGTTTGCGTTTGCCTTTCTGGCGGAGTTGATCACCTTTGGCGGAGTGCTGAAGTCGAGTGCTCTTATGTGGCTGCTTCGTTTGCGCGGTGTGGACAGGCTCAGTCTGCGGTTTTTGGAGCGGCTTTTCAACAAAGACTTAGGCGTACGTTTGGCGATTATGTCTGCACTCATGGAGATCGTCGGTTGCTGCTCCGCGATGGTGGAGTTGACTGTCATCGTCGTCGTCGTTGTCGTCGTCGTCGTCGTCGTCGTCGTCGTCGTCGTCGTCGTCGTCGTCGTCGTCGCCGTCGTCGTCGTTGTTACCGTCATCGTCGTCATCGTAGTGGTGCACTTCGCACTCTCCATCATGGACGTCAAGTCGATGTCGGAGAGATTGTGGCTCTGATTAATCTTGCTACAGTTGAATTTTAAGTACGGTGAGAGACCACTCTCTGACAAGCTAATGTTCTCCTCCAGGTTGATTGTAGGCATATTGGCGCCGTCCAGGGATGTTTTCGCGCTGCTTTCGTTGCCGTAAAGCGTAATCACCTGAGACTCACCCGTCGCGATCTTACTGATCATTTGCACGGGTTCCACAGAGTTTAAAGGCCGTTGGTCGACGATGACCGGTGTTAACGTTGCGTCAACTTTGCGCACAGTTTTCACACTTTTGCTCACTTTAGTGGTTCTCCTATGCGACGAAGATTGATTAGTGATCGAGTTAACCGGTTCTTCCGCTACAACCGGCAATGATCTCGCCACCGGCAATTTCTGTGCCAGATTCACTGTTCTCAGGTACATAGTCTCCACGGATCCGGCGATTCTGTTCGGATCTTTCGGCGCGATTGGGATAAAGCGAGATGCGGAGGTCGATCTGATGGAGGTCGACGAGTGGTTCATACTCAGAAGATTACTTATCTCTTCTTTCGAGCATACCACCAACGCCGGTGTGGTTATTATCTCTTGCTTCGTCACGATTTGTCTTGCTTCGTTCACTGTCTGATCACGTTTCGGTCTCGTGGGTCTCGGTCGCTTTACCGTGGATCTCCTGACTTTAGAGTCCGCATTCGTGGACGACACGATGTTGCTCGTTTTTTGAACATTCGCCAGCGCCAAGGGCTTCGTCATCGCGTCCTCTTCGCTCACTGCAGTCGGTACCGTCATTTGAACATTCTCCGTGATCTCACCTATGATCATCGATTCTTTCACGTTGTCGAGAGTTTTTTTCTCATTGGACGTGTTATTGGTAATATTCGCATTTACAATACTTAACACCGCGGCTGCATTCTGATCCTCCAGCGTGCTCTGTTCCCTCTCCTGATCCTTGGCTTTGTCGGCCTCATCCTCCATTCTGTTATTTTGCTGTCTGGAAGAGCTGCGCAGTCGGTGCTTCAAAGGCACATCCACGGCATTGTTCTCCGTAGACGTAGTTCTGGTACCCACTATCGTTGGCTCTGGCGAACTGATGTTGCCGAAAGCAACTTCTGCGTGTTTCTCTTCCGCTCTACAAATATTAAGATATGAGAGAACGTACATAAGAAATGTTAACGTGACACATGAAAAAATCATTAAAAGTATACATGAGCTTACTCATTGAGAAATTTCGGACTGTGCTTCCCTTCGCCATCCTCCTCTGGACTCGTATCGGTCTCTGTGTGCGGCCCGATGATCTCATCGAGGAATTTCTCAAACACGGGGTCGGTTTCCGTCGCTTCAACAATCGACTTAATAGCATTATTCAACTCTGCCATGATAGAAGTGTTCCCTTCACCGCCGACCGATTCGAAACTCTCATCCCTCAGAGATAAGTCCGTAGGAATGATTGCTCTATTGATATTTTCGGCGATACATTCTTGTAACTCTGTACGATTCAAGATTTCTTTCGTTAATATCTGGAAATGTATATGAGTGGACACTTAATATAATAACAATGCTCATTAGTATCTTTGTATTGATGGCTTGTGGAAAGTTCCTTTAGAAAACGCGACACGGCACGATTACAAGTGAACAATTTAAATGCAGCAAAAGCAAAAGCCGATATTATCCACGGACTTACGCTGAGATTTTCGATGGGTTCATCGTTCGACTCAGACTCCGACTCTGGTATTTCATAAGGATTAGTTTGCACTTCCGTACTGGAGAATCTCAATTGTTCCTCCGTATTTGTCGCGGTTGTACATCGTTTGAGAGATGGAGTACTTGTCGTCATATTAATTTCCTCCTTCCTTTTACCATCGATGTCAACTTCAAATTGTTGCGTATTCCACATTCCGTCATCTGTAGAAACACACATATATACACACGCACACGCACACGCACACGCACACGCACACGCACACGAGAGAGAGAGAGAGAGAGAGAGAGAGAGAGAGAGAGAGAGAGAAGAGAGAGAGAGAGAGAGAGAGAGAGGAGAGAGAGAGAGAGAGAGAGAGAGAGAGAGAGAGAGAGAAGAGAGAGAGAGAGAGAGAGAGAGAGAGAGAGAGAGAGAGAGAGAGAGAGAGAGAGAGAAGAGAGAGAGAGAGAGAGAGAGGAGAGAGAGAGAGAGAGGAGAGAGAGAGAGAGAGAGAGAGAAGAGAGAGAGAGAGAAGAGAGAGAGAGAGAGAGAGAGAGAGAGAGAGAGAGAGAGAGAGAGAGAGAGAGAGAGAGAGAGAGAGGAGAGAAGAGAGAGAGAGAGAGAGAGAGAGAGAGAGAGAGAGAGAGAGAGAGAGAGAGAGAGAGAGAGAGAGAGAGAGAGAAGAGAGAGAGAGAGAGGAGAGAGAGAGAAGAGAGAGAGAGGAGAGAGAGAGAGGAGAGAGAGAGAGAGGAGAGAGAGGAGAGAGAGAGAGAGAGAGAGAGAGAGAGGAGAGAGAGAGAGAGAGAGAGAGAGAGAGGAGAGAGAGAGAGAGAGGAGAGAGAGAGAGAGAGAGAGAGAGAGAGAGAGAGGAGAGAGAGAGAGAGAGAGAGAGAGAGAGAGAGAGAGAGAGGAGAGAGAGAGAGAGAGAGAGAGAGAGAGAGAGAGGAGAGAGAGAGAGAGGAGAGAGAGAGAGAGGAGAGAGAGAGGAGGAGAGAGAGAGGAGAGAGAGAGAGAGAGAGAGGAGAGAGAGAGAGAGGAGAGAGAGAGAGGAGAGAGAGAGAGGAGAGAGAGAGAGAGAGAGAGAGAGAGAGAGAGAGGAGAGAGAGAGAGGAGAGAGAGAGAGAGAGAGAGAGAGAGAGAGGAGAGAGAGAGAGGAGAGAGAGAGAGGAGAGAGAGAGAGAGAGAGAGAGAGACGAGAGAGAGACGAGAGAGAGAGAGAGAGAGGAGAGAGAGAGAGGAGAGAGAGAGAGGAGAGAGAGAGAGGAGAGAGAGAGAGGAGAGAGAGAGGAGAGAGAGAGAGAATGTGTGTGTGTGTGTGTGTGTGTGTGTGTGTGTGTGTGTGTGTGTGTGTGTGTGTGTGTGTGTGTGTGTGCGCGCGCGTGCGAGAGAGAGCAAGCAAAAGTTAAATCAACTTTACACATTTTGATCAACAGTATCGCTCTCTCCAACAAGATTAAATGATCACTTCGAGTCGGTCAGGAGAAAATGAAAATCGAATTTTTGCAACTCTGCAAGATACTATTAAACTTACTAAAATTTCATCCTTCAAATTTTGTAAAGTTTAATACGTTATGTAAAGTTTAATACATTTATATCGTCGAGAACAAAATTTTACCAAGTTTGAAAATTCAGATTTGCAGTTTTTTAGAATCAGCTGAATTGTTTTTCTGGGACATTGTTTTACTTTATGATTTCCTGCAAAATATGGATTTTCTTCTTTATTGCCCTAACCGATTCAAGGTGATGCTTCAACTTTTGAAGAAGCATATTCTTTTTTATATTATTACTTTTCTCGAAGTCATATTGACCGGGTGACTCTTGTAGAACGTTGTCATCTCTTTTCTCACTCCTATCATTGATAGATTCTGCTTGTTTAAACGAGCTAACATTGCCGGGTAGGCTTTCTAATGGAGTTGTATCGATATTGTGAGAAATCGCTGCTAAATCGAGATACATGTGATTAAAAGATTTGCAGTATAACGAACGCGTAGCGAATACAAGTGGAAAAAAAAGACAAACACAAACATACATGAATTTGTTACGACGTCGGGCTGTTGCGTCATATTTAATTGGGATTTGGTAGTGCGTTTACTTCGTTCACTATTACTATGTCGTCTCCTCCGCATGCTATTTGCGAGAGTAGGCGAGCCACCTGATGTTTGCGTGTTATTCTATAAAATGATTTCATAGAGCATAATTCAAACGTCGATACACTTTTGATTGTGTTGCATCGAACGAGGGGCTCCCATACTTGTTGATTCTTATATGTGTTAGCATATAAGATTTTAGATACACATCAACTATATTAAACATGGGAGACCCTAATGCACTTAGAATGCCAGGAGGAAATGTTAAGATAACAAGATACCTGAGATGGCACATTTATGTTTACAACAAATCGCTGGCCACGTGGCTCTTCTACAAGGAATTTAAGCTGTTCTATTAGATCTCCGCAATGTTTCAACTGCTCACAATCTGTGGCTTTGTTTAACCGTTCTTGAACTACAAGAAACAGTGCTTGCTTAAGGAAAGAATAGCATTTACAAAATAAACATGGGGATTCCACTACTGAATTTATTTGTATGTCGTGTTAATCTTTTTGCATTTGTCATAATTGTTGTCATACTCTTGATTTAATCATTATTATTATTAAGTAATTAAGTTAAATTTAATCAAGTTGAATAAGGTAACTCACTCATATTGCTAATGGCAGAAAACTTCTCAATGATATCTATCAGTGTTAAACCATTAACTTTGGTGCTGAATCTCTTCCCATAAGAGACTACCGTCCGGCATTCTTGTAAGTGTGGGGACGATTCTAAAAATTGTTTGGCTGCATCTGTACACTGCTGATCCTCCAAGTAACCTGAAAACAACAGATATACGGTACAATATATAACATAAACATTGGTCAATATCATAATTCAATTTCTTATATAAGAACAATAAAGCTCCAATACTAAAGAATGACATAAACAAGACAATGATCAAGTAAATACCTCAAGAAGAATAACAAAGAAAAGGATCTATGAAATCTTATCAAAGAAACCTCAATTAATTTATGATTTAAATTAAATAAATTATATTAACAAGAACATAAAAAAGCATTATGTTACAGATTTGTCGTTGCATTGAGCAAATAGATATGTGTAAACAAGAGATTAAACTGTCAACAAAAGAGGTTACGGTTAAGTGCATAATTTTTGGGAATCAACGATTGTAATAATTTGATCAGGCTATACATACCGAGGACTAATCGAGCTATTTCGGACGGCAATAGTGCTTCCATAATAGTCTTCGAGTACTTCGTAATTTTGCGAAACACCTTAACAGAACAACCGTCCGCTACGATACGAAGCAATCAATGCTTTAACGATATCTAGCTAATGCGTTTCGACAGCAACAAACATTGGTAGCGTTACCAACATGCATGGAGAATTTCTTTTTTTACAAATTTCACTTTGATCGTTTTGAAAGAGAATAGATTTTGCTCTATGATTTCAGCATGCCTGAGCATAACGGAACCATCTTGACTCTATAAATATCTATTAATTAACTGTAGGTAATATTAAACATATCGCAAATGTTTTCCCATTATAATTATGTCCAGTATTTGCGTTGCATGTTCTGGGAAGTAATTCACAAGATTCTTGAGAAAAACGCGGGAGGATCGATGGCACCATTATTCGAGGATAACACTGAAAATAATGCATGGTTTTTTGAACTTATGTTTCGCGTTTATATTCAAATTTCCCCCCAGTGCTGTCCTAGATTCTTTATTTTTCAAAGATGCTTAAGTCCCATCTACAATGGCTGCAAGAATAAAGGCTCGTCTACATTAGCTGTAGGAGTAAAGGCTCGTCTACATTAAAGCTAAGACTCCATGCATGCGGTGAGCTCCGGCAAACGGCTGCGGTGACCAATCAGGAGACAGACGCATGCCGGAGCTTGCCGCAACCGGACTTGCGCCTCCCTCCTGATTGGTCACCGCAGCATTTGCCGCAGCTCACCGCATGCATGGAGTCTTAGCTTAAGAGTAAGGGCCAGAGCACAGACTTCTGCATAACGCACAATACACAACGAATAAGAGAATAAACCAATCAGAGTTCTTGATTTCTGAGTCCTGAGGAGGGAAATTAAGAAAACTAATTGGTTTGTTTTCTTATGTGTTATGTATTATGTGTTATGCAAAAGCCTGTGCTCTTGCCCTAAGTAAGGCTGTAAGGTTGCAAGACACGAAATGAAATATTTTCATTCGCTGACAGTTTACGTTACAGCCTTACAGCCTAAAAGCCTATCCAGACAAACTTGCATAAGCGCGTAACGCATATGCATAAGGAAATTGACCAATTATGATCCGTGTAGTGAAAAAATATTTTTTGTATTAAACATACGATTAGTCAATTTCCTTATGCATATGCATTAAGGCTCGTCTACATTAGCTGTAAGAGTAAGGCTGTAAGGTTGCAAGACACGAAATGAAATATTTTCATTCGCTGACAGCTTACGTTACAGCCTTACTCTTACAGCTATTGTAGACGAGCCTTTAGTGTATGTCTACAACCTTGCTTTAAGAGGATGATTTAAGCTCTAAGCCGTAAGTGTTTAGTGATGTCATTTCCGTCTCTAAAGGCTCGTCTACAATAGCTGTAAGAGTAAGGCTGTAAGGCTGCAACGTAAGCTGTCAGCGAATGAAAATATTTCATTTCGTGTCTTGCAACCTTACAGCCTTAAGCTAAGACTCCATGCATGCGGTGAGCTCCGGCAAACGGCTGCGGTGACCAATCAGGAGACAGACGCATGCCGGAGCTTGCCGCAACCGGACTTGCGCCTCCCTCCTGATTGGTCACCGCAGCATTTGCCGCAGCTCACCGCATGCATGGAGTCTTAGCTTTACTCTTACAGCTAATGTAGACGAGCCTTAACAGTTTTCAGCTTACAGCTTAGAGCTTACGGCTTAGAGATAAAATATTTTCTTAAAGCGAGGTTGTAGACATACACTTACGCGCTTATGCAAGTTTGTCCGGATAGGCTTTTAGGGGCAGAGCACAGACTTCTGTATAACGCATAATACACAACGCATAAGAGAATCAACCAATCAGAGTTCTTCATTTCTATCCTGAGGAGGGAAATGAAGAAAACTAATTGATTTATTCTTTAATGTGTTATGTATTATGTGTTATGCAGAAGTTTGTGCTCTGGCCCTTAAGGCCATCACACGTAGAAAAATTTTAACCGTAACCGTAAAGTTGTAAGAAAACTGACCAATCACAGTCGATTATTATAATGTCACAAGAGAAAGGATCGACTGTGATTTAGGCGCACCATGAAAGAAGGAGGGCGTACTAGGTGGCGACGGGACGCCGTGCGTTCGGGACCTGCATCTCATTTTTCGTTCCGAGGAGAGAAAAATATCGAGAGCGCGGTAGTCGCTAGACCGGGAATCGAACCCGGGTCTTTCGCTTGCCGGGCGACTGCTCCAGACCACTGAGCTATCTGACGCTCCACGCTCACGACACTCTCCCCTCCCCAGATAACGTTGAGAGATGTCGTTCGGAAGCGACATCTCTAGTGCTATCCCGAGCGCACGGCGACTACAGAGAGAGGCATTGTTACTTGTACATGGTGGTACAAGCTGACAGTCTCTCAAAGTCAAAGGTTGCTATCCTTTTAAGACCTGCTGTCCATGTATGCCGGCCTCCACCGTTGCCCCTCCTTATCCGGTGCAAATAATAGAAATAAGCCCCGGGGTCGACGCCATATTTTGGCTGCCCCCGGGCGCTTGGACACGTTTTGCAACGCGCCGAGAGTTAAGGCTCGTCTACAATAGCTGTAAGAGTAAGGCTGTAACGTAAGCTGTCAGCGAACGAAAATATTTCATTTCGTGCCTTGTAACCTTACAGCCTTACTCTTACAGCTAATGTAGACGAGCCTTTAGGTTCTAAGCGTAAACAGTAAAATGGACCAACCATAATCGATTATTCTTATAATAATCGATTGTGGTTGGTCCATTTCTTACTGCTTACGCTTACAACTTTATTCTTGCAGCCATTGTAGATGGGCCTTTAGGGACTTCAGACATTCTGTACCAGATAACCAATGAAATATCGGCTAAATTTGACACGAGCCAAAAGTTTTAAGGGCCGCGGTTGTTCTAACTTCTTGTGCCCGTTTCTACCAACCTTGGTTAACCTAACCGATTGGTTATTCCAACCGGTTGGTATTGACCAGTCGCATTTGTCATTAATTAGAATTGTTAAATGCGATTGGTCCATTCCGATGGAATAATCAGTCGGTTAAATTAACCACGGTTGAACATTGGAGTAACGGACCTTGGTAAGTTTAACTGATAGTAAAATCATATCATTTATCAGAGAGAAAAAGGAGCCAAGTGCGAAACGCTCTCTGTACACTGGGGTGCATCATATCGTGCCGCGGCAGGGGAAGTCCTATGATGCACCGGCTATGATGTACAACCGTACACACGAACCATGATGCCAACGTTCACAATTCTTTAGTGGTTCCGATAGCGTTACGATATTCACTGTCCTATATTTTCTGTCCTGAGGAGGGAAATGAAGAACTCTGATTGGTTGATTCTCTTATGCGTTGTGTATTATGCGTTATGCAGAAGTCTGTGCTCTGGCCCTTAAGCGGGAAGCACACACTCTTACATAAAGGTATAATGCACAACGCATAAGGAAATAAACCAATCAGAATCCTCATTTCTATTGCCACGCTCGAAATGAAAGACTCTGATTGATCCATTTCCTTGTGCGTTGTGCATTATGCCTTTATGTAAGAGTGTGGGCCAGAGCACAGACTTCTGCATAAAGCATACACAACGCATAAGAGAATCAACCAATCAGAGTTCTTCATTTCTATCCTGAGGAGGGAAATTAAGAAAACTAATTGGTTTATTCTCTTATGCGTTATGCAAAAGCCTGTGCTCTTGCATAGCCCGCTTTGCATATCCCGCTTTAAGCGAGAAGCATACACATACTTTTGGCTCTAAAAGCCTATCCAGACAAACTTGCATAAGCGCGTAACGCATATGCATAAGGAAATTGACTAATCGTATGTTTAATACAAAAAATATTTTTTTTATTATACGGATCATAATTGGTCAATTTCCTTATGCATATGCATTACGCGCTTATGCAAGTTTGTCTGGATAGGCCTTAAGGGCCAGAGCACAGACTTCTGCATAATGCATAACACACAACGCATAAGAGAATCAACCAATCAGAGTTCTTCATTTCTCTAGATTCTCTTATGCATTATGCAGAAGTCTGTGCTCTGGGCCTATCTCTTTATAGTATCTCGTCGGTGGTATAATAGCTAAAGCAGTCGGTATTATCATCGCTTTTCAATTACATCCGGGTTTCTTAAGCGCCCCTTGGCCAATATGAAAATTTACCCAGGGCTGACAGTCTTTATATTATCTCATCGGTGACGAAACCGACTGTGAGATTGAGGGAGGACTCTTTCTTGAGAGAGGGACAGACTATCAGCGCGATTTCTAACTGGTTGCTGCCTTTCTGCTTTTGGCTGTTCTGCTCAAATGTGAATCCTCCCTGATATCTACATTGATGGTCTATTTCATTGGTCAAATTTTGATCATCAATTCGGGCTTGATGAAGTGTCACAAGCTGGAACTTAGAAAAGAGACGAGGACTGAGAAATTACGAAATAATTAAATACCATAGAAAAAGATATTGCTATAAAGAGCAGAGCTCTGAAATGCTGGCAATACCACGGCAACACATCTATCGTGATCTTTTAGCTGCGACGTAAATTCTCTCTGGACGGCAGATGGCGCACAGTCCCTGCGCTCGCTTCAGCATGAAAATTGAATTTTTACGACGGTTATGAAGCATGCATAGAAACAGGACGACCGGTCGGTGTAAATTAAACAAAGCTTTGTGGCAAACTCTTTAGAAGAAAATATAAAGATCGGTAAGAAACGCGCATAGTACGTATGCATATATACAAGCACGCTACTAACGCGACATGACAAAGCTTACCTCACCCTCATCCACCTTTTCGGTTGGCTGTGTCCCCTCCTATTCGTGCTCCTCTCCTTTCTTCCTAGTCTCCCTCCCTTCCTCTCTTTCTCTCGTCCATCGCCAAAATCGCGTACGCAGCATCCTCACGCGCGCGAAACACGCGTACGCCGGTGGACGCACACGGTGTGTCTGTGGCATCGCG